CTTGGGTATTGTAAAGGTTCTTGCTGCCAAACCTGATGATGTGAATTCCATTCTAAGGACCCACATGGAGGGAAGAGAGAATTGATTCCCTAAAGTTGTCCTCTGACCTCTACGATACTGGAAAAGTTTTAAAAATCTTACGGAAATGATATAATAGAAAGGAAAATGTACAGCTATAATTTATGTTAGGGAAGAGAATAGAAATAGATTTATAATAGTAGTATTGCTATAGGTCTAAAAGGGGCCAGACACAAAGACAGGTAGACACTGTAGGATCTACAGCCATGTATACTAATGGTCTGTCTACCTGGAAAATATTAGAAACTTTAGTGATGAAGATTAGGAGCCAAGTTCTTAAAAATGATTAACTAATAGGAAACAGGGTGAGAAAACAATAAAGAAGGGGGGATTATATAGTGATTGGTCTTCTTAAGTCAGATGTATTGAGGAGCATGAAACAGTTTAGGATCTTTGAAGCAAGAGGTACAAGTGAACAAATAAGAACTAGCAACATTGCTATATATGAACCACAAACTATTCAGTAAGGAAATCAAGACAACAATCTCATGTGCAGGAGCATCAGAAACAATAAACTCTTTAAGGCTATATTAAGCTACATAGATAAAAGACTAGAGCACTAAAACCTGTAAATCATTAATCAAGAAGCTGAAGAAGGTACACTAAATAGAAAAATAGAATGAATGTTTAAGTTTCCATATGACTCAAAACAATGAACAAATTCAATGTAATTTTAATACCTATCAGAATTCCAAAGATATTTTAATAGACATATAAAAATCTATAAAATTTTAAAGTATCTTTAAAATCCCTAATAACAAAAGCTGGAAACATTTAAGCATCTGTTCTCAAATCTACAACAAAATATAGTCATCAAAATAGAATAGGGAGCCAGAAACAAATCCACTCATTTATTACCAATTGTTTTCTTATAAAAATGCCAAGGACATACAGTCAAAGAATCAGTGTTGGGAAAACTGGAAATCTATGCATAAGAATGTAAGTGGACTCCTTTAAACATCATGCACAAAATTCATGCAAAATGAAGCAATGACTTGAAGTTATAGAACACTAGAAGCAAATGGGTAGCTCTTGATATTGTTATTGGCAAGTATTTTTGTATAGAATTCCAAAGGGATATGAAATAGGAACAAAGTTAAGATAAATGGGATTACACCCTAAATCTATACAGCCAAAGAAACAATCTACAAGGCACAGAAGTAGTATATCAAGTGGAGAAAATATTTGCAAGCTGTACATTGGATAAAAGGGCTCATAACTACATGGGTAAGGAACTCAAAACTCAATGCAAGAAGATAATCCATGCTACTGGAAAATTCATAGAAGGCAGGAGAAGAGATCTTTCAAAGGAAAAACTGTGAATGACCAACAGGCAGATAAACCCTTCACACAAGTGATCTTCAGAAGGACATCAATTAAAACTATGATTAAACTGGCCATTATACAAAAGACTAAAGTTGGGTGACGGTGAGGATGAGGCATGAGAGGAATCTTGTGTTCTGTTTGTGAGATGATAAGCTAGCTCATGCATTATGGGAAATATGATGAAGATTCCTTAAAAACTTAAAATAGGAGCTGGAGATATGGTGTAATGAGGGTATTTGCTGCTCTTGCACAGGGCCTGAGCTAGGCTCCCACCACATACATTGGGCAGCTCATAATCCGATGTTACTCAAGCTCTAAGGGATTCAACACTCTTCTGAAAGTAAATCTTTCAAAATTAAAAATAGAAATACTATGTGATTCAGCAATTACACTTTTAGGTGATTTCATAACAGCCAAGGTCAACATAAACATCCATCAGCCTAAACATCCATTAAGGAATGAATTGACAAAAAAATATACGCTATACATTACACACACACACCCACATACACACACACCCACACACACGTGCTCACCCACACAAGCGTGCTTAAAAATGGAAGATATGCTAAGTAAAACAATCCAGATCCAGAAAGACAAACGTATGTGAGATGATGGATATGTTAGTTATCTTGATTTAATTATCTTTCACCATATACATATATCAAAACATCACATTATCTATTATCAACATACACATACCTTTTGCCAATTAAAAACAATGAATTATTTTTAAGTGTTTTTGCTAACTCAGTAAGCTTTAAGCAATCAATCCTCATCTTCCTCTCTCTATGAAATAATTTTTAACTGTCCTAGGCAAATTTGTTGCAATCTCTTTTCTGCACCCACGGGTCTTTGTATATTTTCTAAATTGCTTCTTATAGAGTAAGTTCACATGTTTGTTACTTTCTGTACATTTGGCTTCCTGAGAAAGTTGTTGTAAACAACATTTTTGTATCTTACTCTTGTAATATATTAGCAATCATTAATTATATTATTATTGAGATCAATTAAAATAGCAAATCATCTTTATTATAACATCCAGTAGAGTAAACTTATTTTGGTAAACATACTTTAAAATTTGCCTTTTAAAATTTAGTGTGTTTGTGCATGCCACAGCATGCATGTGGTAGTCAGAGGACAGCTTGTGGGAAACAGTTCTCTTCTTCCACAATGGGTTCTGGGATGGAACTCAGGCATCAGGCTTGGCAGCAAGTGCCTTTATCTGCTGAGCCATCTTGCTACCCCAACATAGACCTTTTAATATGCATGGCCAAATCTAATGGCCAACAGAAAATAGAGTTTAATATTTAAAAAGTGAAACTAGGAGGTAATAGTCAAAGGTTAGAAACAAATCACGAAAGCATTGTTCAAAGCTTCAAATATGAATATTAAATTTTTTAAATGCCAAGCAATTTTAGAAAAAGAACAATATTTTCTGTAAAACTGAGAGACTGAGAGACTGCCATTGGCAAGATAGTGGGGAAACGTACTTGCTGCACAAACTGGGCAACCTGAGTTCAATCCCTGAAATCTATGGAGTTGTCTTCTGACCTCCACATGCACTGTGCCTCAGCTACACTTCACAAACACATAATTATACTAAATCTAAAGTGTCAACCCCCACCCCCATAAAAATCCAAACCCTGAAGGGATTACATGTTAAAATGGGTATCATATGACAATCTTATATCAACTGAGAAATAAAAAATTAAAATTTAAGCTGGGCATCAGTGGTGCATGCCTTTAATCCCAGCACTTGGGAGGCAGAGGGAGGTGGATCGCTGTGAGTTTGAGGCTAGCCTGGTCTACAGAACGAGTTCCAGGACAAGCTCCAAAGCTACACAGAAAACACTATCTCAGAAAAAAAATTAAAATTTAAGTGAAAATTTAGATACAGAAAATAGACAATTTAAAAGAGAAAAATATATCAGTAAAACAGTATTTAAATAAAAATAAATTTGAAACACAATGATATTAGAATTAGCAAAATTCCAATTTCATCTGTTAAATCTTCAACTAGTTGTGTTGACAATGCTCCACAACTAACAAAGAATATTTTAAACTAATGGCTTTGGGGAGGGATATTTAGTATTCTGAGATACTTGAGGATCATCCTCTTCTCTGGCTGAGCATGCTGCTATCCAAAGTTATCAAAGATGGCATCTGAATGGTTCTTTAAATCAGGCAGCTATCTAATTCTATGATAGCCATGATGCCATACAATTAGTACACACCTACTTTGTAACAGAACTATTTGAAAACAGATGCAATAGCACATTGAGGCTACCAAAAAGCAAAACCCAAATAACCTATTGGACAAACAGTAGATTTCTGACCCTGGCCCCATTTTAACCTGCTGTCACAGGGACTCATTGGGTAAATATATGCCTCTGGAGGTAGGCGAGACTCCTGGGACCTGAAAGGATGGGAAACTGGGGATTACATTTTCTTTCCATTAATTCATCATCCAGATGCTTACAGTGACATTTAGTGACTGGTAAGTAAATATTTCATTCAATTAAGTCTTTCTCTTGGCATTCTAGAAAAAAGTTAATCAGTTATAAACCTTCTAATTTGTTTGCTATAATGACCAATGAGACAGGTGTAGCATGAAGATCAGTCTCATATGTTGCTGGTGACAATTTAAAGATTTACTTTTGAACATATTTGACATCTGGGCATGAATCCCACCCAGTACCTGGGAGGCAGAGACAGGCAGAATTCTGTGAGTTTGATGTCAGCCTGGTCTATGGAGTGACTTCCAGGACAGCCAAGGCTACACAGAGAAACCCTATCTCCGAAAAAGAAAGAACATATTTGGTAGTCAAAAATGTCACCTTCTTTGACTAGTTGGTACTTATTTCAGTGATGGTGCTTGTGTAATTTCATTCCCAGGAACCTACCATAAAGAAGTAATGCTATACATGAAAAACCAGGAAATATCCAAATGCTACATAAAATAATATCAAGTAAATATATTCCAGCTGTTTAACGTCATAGGGCCCATGGCCCATGGTGTTTTATTGATGGGGCACAACAAACTCAATAAGAGTAAAGATCACAAAAATTATTTTGCAAGCTTTAAGTAGGTATAATATATTGTACCATTGCAAAAAATGTTAATACTATGTATTTGGTGTAATCACAACTTAGTAAAAAATGCAAATGAGAGGTAAAAGAGATAACATAAAATATACATAAAGTATAAAATAAAATTTAGGCAAGAATATAATTTAAACTATTTGCTTTGTTTTCCAGATTTTGTTTAATATGGTGAGATGATTTTTCATAATGAAAAGATAGATGAAGGGGTGGGAAGGTTGAAAATCTCAGATGCGACAATGAAATACGTATTCATTACACCTACTTAATGTTAAGCCAATGAATGATTCCAAAAGAAAGCATCTGCTGGCAGGGTAGTCATACTACGTGGAAATCAATTCCTCTCATTCCCTAACTGAAAGCAAATTAGAATTGATTTCTAACAGGTTATCTCATCATACGAAAAAGTATTAAAATGGGTTGTCCTAATTGAAATTGAAAGCAAGCTTTCTTAACTGCTGTTAGTAAATATGTCCTTTTCAATACTTCAGTTTTGGTTTCACTTTAACAACCCCATCACCCTGAGACGATGGCACATCTTCAAGGAGTTCTTGCACTCCGAAGGGCTTCAGAACACATCAGTCTCAGGAGCAGAGGCAGAGGTAATGATGGTTACAGAAATCCTGGAGAAACTAAACCGACAGATCCCACCCAGACCCTTCACCAATTTCAACACCACCACCAGTGCCAAAGAGAGCAGAGCCACCATCCTCAACCCCCGGGGCACATACTGCATAGGGGACCAACTGGACGTCCTGCTGGTAGCCAAGGACTACTTTGGTCACAGGAAGGAGTATGGTGGGGACTTCCTAAGGGCCAGGATATTCTCTCCAGCCCTGAAGGCAGGCGCTTCTGGAAAGGTGACAGACTTCAACAACGGCACCTATGTTGTCAGCTTCACTCTGTTCTGGGAAGGCCCTGTCTCCCTGTCTATTCTTCTCATGCATCCCAGCGAAGGGGTGTCAGCTCTCTGGAGAGCAAGGAACCAAGGCTATGACAGAATAATCTTCACTGGCCAGTTTCTTAATGGCACCTCACTTGTCTTCACTGAATGTAGCCTGACCTTGAACACAAATGCCGAGCAGTGTCAGTACCTGGATGCTCGGGATCATGAAGCCTTCTACTGCATGAAGCCACTACATGTTCCCTGTGAGGCCCTGACCCACATGAAAACCAATAACAATAATGTCTCCTACCTCAGCCTTAAGGAAAAGCTCCTTTTCCAGAGGTAAACATGGCTTCAAATTCATTAAGGGCTACCAAAGGGTAGACTTTGGATCTGACCAAACTGTTGAATACATTAACTTTGACTAATCAAACTGTCATGTCAGTGTTGACTAAGTTATAACTAGGTCCAAACTCCAGAAGTAGCTTAATTGACATTCTGGGTTATGTCTGGGACCGCTGGCTGAAAGGAATACAGCTGGAAAGTGCTTTACACAGTGTATATGTCTTGTTTTCTATGGTGCATGGTAATTCCAGATTCAGTAATTCTTTTTTTATGTACCAGCATTGCCTGTAATGTATTCATGAAATGCTGTCCCACATACTATTAATTAAATGAGTAGGATCATTACTCATTTATCCTTTAATCCAACCAATCATCAAATCCTCTGAGTTGTACCTCTGCACTGTCTCCTGAACTCACTCATTTCTGTCTGTCACTGTTGGCTCTCTCTTAGATGAGCTCTCATCAGCCTTCAATTAGATTGTGTCAGTGATCTCAGGGGCTGCTTTCTGTGTTCTCACTCATGTTTCTAAAAAAAACACACACACACACACACACACACACACACACACACACACACACACACACACACTTCTTTGCCTGAGACCATTGCTATGGTTGTACATCTTTAAAGATGAACTCAGATTATAACTGTTTATAGGCTTCTTTCACTTTCATCCTGTTTTCCCTTCTGCGAATCAAGCTGAACATTTATTTCACTGTTTGCATTTCCAAGCCTTGGGTTAGCTCCATTTTAAGAGCCTTCATGTCCACAGTCTGGGATCTGCTGCTGCTGGGAGGCTTGTTTTCATGATATGTGTCCAGGAGAACAAGCTGGAAATTCAAGTTCAAGTATGACAATTGACTCTTTCCTTCTACAAACTCCCCCTTTCTCCCTCCCTCACCTTCACTTGTGTCCCCCCAAAATGCATGGGGAAATCCACACCTTTATCTGATGTGTCAGCTAAAAGAGGCTGGCCTTTTCAAATATTTTTTTTAATTTGAAAAAAAAGATTATTAATAGGACTGGAGAGATAACAGTGGTGAAGAGCAGTTAGTGCTCATCAGAAGACCTGGGTTCACGTCTCAGCACCCACATGGCTCACAACCATCTAGAATTCCAGAGCCAGGGATCCAATGTTATTTTCTGGCCTCCATGGGCACAGAAATACATGTAGGCAAAACACCCACACAATACAATAAAACAAAAATTAAAGTTACAAACAGAATATTTAAAAAGCTAAGTGATCATGAGGATATAGGAAGAGCTAGCTCTTTTTTGCCTTGACTATCCCAGAATCATCTCTTATTGCCAGAGTAGGGGTCATTCGTGTGTAATTTCTGTTTTTCTCACCTGGTGCATCTCAACCTCTCTTAAGGTAGACTTCATCAAGCCTAAATAGGAAGACCCATACTGGCACAGTCTCCTGGTTATGTCTTAGAAAATCCAAAGTCCCCAAGTTGCTTGCAAACCTATATGCAATATTACAGGTGTTTTTTCAAAAATGTAATGGTTCCACACATGATTATTTAAAAAGACACATTGAAATGGATACATTTATATAAGCAACACTTATTTTAGTCCTAATTTTAAGATGCTATCAAATTTGGCCTTTGGAACCAAATTGACAAGGTGGCCAGGTCTTGTTCTCTTATTATATTTAACCTTCCTGGGGCTAGATGAAGGCTAGACTGTAATAGACATTATTCTCACTTGGCCCAAAAACCCCTGTCTTGGGATTCGAGCAATAATACCCTTTCAGTGTTGGAAAATAGCACTTTTGTCTTCCTTGGGGGTTTCTGCAGCTCTGGTTCTCCAATTCCTACCTTCCCACAGCTCTGGATCTGGAGAGTCCTATCTGCCACCAGCTAGAATTTATTCTTTATCAAATAAATTTGACTTTATAAGATACAGTCACCAGTTACCTGGAGCCTAGTACTAGTACTAGGCTAGACATTTGAAATATTGGAGAAAATGAGAGTAACCTCATTCCCACTCTCAAGGAGATATCAGACCATGGAAGGCAGACTCCTGGTGGACTTGGGAAGTTGAAAAGGGGGTGAGGATGAAGCTGGAGCAGTAGATATGTTTAGGAGGCTATATGTGGCTTGGTCTTTATTCTATTGACCATTGAGGAAAAGTCATATAAAGGTATTGTATAGGGTAATGAAATGGGCTGGGCTCTACCAAAGGACCAGAAAGGTAATATAATAACCTAGGTCACTGTTGTCAAAGTGATGTCCTTTGACCAGTAGCTTCAGCTTCTCCTAAGTCGTGAAAAGACCAAGTTCTCTAAGTTGAACTGATTCAAAAGTCTGAGAGTGAGACTCTTTAATGGGAGAAGCACTATCCCAGAACAAAGTTGGTGAGGCCCTGAATTACTACAGGTGGCAAACAAAGGTAAAGTAGATAGTTGGCATTAGACAATCCTACAGGAGTGCCCAAACCTGGGATATTGTGACATAATGTTGTGGTGTACAAATATGTGCTACATTTCTGTCTTGGGATTTATGAAGCATCAAGTTGGTCATGCTTTACAGCTAAAATTAGAGGCTGAGTAGACAGACAGAGAACTAGATAAACAGATACACAGTTATATGGATAGATTTGGTTTATTTGCAAATAAATAAGTGACACCGTGGACTTGCAGATTTCCTCACCATCAGTAGAGAAACCATTTTTTTCTAAAAGAATGACCCATTTGTTTCTTTTGAATGTCTTAAGTGTATCAAAGTAACAGCAATCTCTTGCCGAAAATTAAGCATGCTTTAATTACTCTAAAGCAGAGACTCATTCTTAAAGATCTGGACAGATGTTAGACTAAGTTATTGTCTCATTTCTTGAAGGTTCAACATAGCAGTTGAAATAGTGAAGAATTTGACCATCACAGTCTCACCATGTAACAGTAAGTCCAGTGTGCTCATGGTAAGGTATTCACAACTTGCTAATGTAAACAACTGCTTTATTTTGAGACATCTTTATTCTACCTTAAACATTTTGAGATCTTGTTTTCTGGGACAAAAGAGCTACTGTTTTTTGTTTTTGTTTTTTTTATTCGATACAAGGTTTATCTATATAGCCTTGGCTGTCCTGGAACTCACTCTGTAGACTAGGCTGTCCTTGATCTCATAGAGATCTGCCTGCCTCTGCCTTCCAAGTGCTGGCTACCCTGTATTTTAAAGAAGAGATTTCTATGTTTGGAAAATATTTTTAAATAGATTTATTTTACTTTATGTGTTTTATTTATTTAAGATTTCTTTTTGTTTTATGTGCATTGGTGTCTCGCCTTCATGTGTGTCTGTGTGAGGGTGTTGGATCACCTGTAACTAGAGTTACAGACAGTTGTGAGCTGCTATGCAGGTGCTAGGAATTGAACCAAGGTTCTCTGGAAGAATAGTGAATGCTCTTGACTACTGAGCCATCTCTCCAGCCCTACTTTGTGTATTTTTCCTGCATTTATGCATGTGTACCAAGTGTATACAATACCAGAAGAGAACATTGGATCTCTTAGAACTAGAAGATGATTGTGTGCTGACATGTGGTTGCTGGAATTGTACTCAGGTCTTCTGCAAGAGAATCAAATCCTCTTAACCACTCAAAAAATATTTTCATAGCAATTTTCATCATGAATAAGGTATAAAAATCTAGGTAATTGTAGCTGTCCCTACTCAAAATATTCATACTCTATGTATTTACATTGAGAGCTATTCTCCAAATTCATCAGTTGGGTACCGGTACTGTGCTAAAGAGTTTCCACAGAGCTGGGAAACAATCAGGCTATTTCTCCCTTGGATTTTAATTTCCCTTTCAGTCAAATCATGTCCCTTAAGATTCTATGAACTAGCAATTTCTGTGGCTCACCTTTTAACACATGAACTTCTGTGACTGCTACAAAGTTAGCTTATAAAGTGATTCTGCTGCTCTGGAATTCAAAGGAATTTCTGTAAAGCTAATGATGTGTATATCAATCAGTAGGAATATATTGACCCATTACCCCCTCTTCCTTTAACTTAGCAAATATTCAGCAAGGGAGGACTTACAGTATAGAAATAATTGTGCTAAACTTTGGGGAAAGCATAGATAGCAATAAACCATGGGTCCAGATCTGCTGCTCGGTCTGTGAGAGGGACTTGTTTACTTGGGCAACCACTAGCCATGACCAATTTTTATATGAAAGGAAGTTTTGAGACTCTTGATGCAACCCCAGTTGTCACCACAGATGATCACATCTCATTTCTTGCCTAGACAGTGATGTCTTTTAAAATCAGCAAGTTCCTCACAAAATAATGCTAGGCTATTGTTATTGTCATATCATCATCATTGCATTAATAGTTATTAGGGTTACTAACATATATGATATATGTAATTCAATATGGATAAAAGTCCCCAAACTTATTCCCTCAACCCCAAAGATGGACGTAGATAATGAAAATGTGTTTTTCAGGTAACGAATATAAAGCTTCTTATTCTAGTTCCATCTATTGCTGTGATGAACACCATTACCAAAATCAACTTAGGGGAGGAAGGCATTTGGCTTATACATCTAGGTTCCAGTCCATCTTTGAGAGGAGCGAGGGCAGGAACTAAAGTAAGAACCTGGAATACCTACTTAATATTCTGCAAAGAATTACCCCTGACCAAGGAATTCAATCTTCAGCCAAAGAGGTACAGCAGGAGCTATGAAGGGATCTATCTGCTTGCTAGCTTTCTTATACAGCCCAGGACCATCTGTCCAGGGAATGGTGTCATCCACTATGGGCTGATCCCTCCTACATCATTTATTAACCAAGGAATCCTACACAGACATGCCCACAGGCCAATATGATCCTGGAGACTCCTCAGTTGAGACACCCCTTCTCAGGTGATTTTACTGTGTCAAGCTGACAGTTAAAGCAAACTAGTGTACCTGTCTGGAAAGAACACTCAGTATGAATTGATGAAGGCAGCTTAGACTGTGTCAATAGTGGAGTGTTAAGAACAAGGAGATCATGGTTCTGTTATTTTTCCATAGAAGACAGAGCACAGTGAGAATATTATGTCTAGTCCCTAGTTTAGACAAGGGAATATTTAAAGGGTTATTATTATTACATAGAACATAATTTTGGCACAAACTGTGTTTAAGCTCTTTCATGAGTTAACAGCTTGAGAATAAGAAGACTTGAAGTTTCACCAAGGCCAATGTAATTGTTGAAATATTCATCTGGATCTCTGGGCCCTGTTTACACTTCTTTCCCAACTTCGGTTTGCTGTCTCACTTCTGAGTGGTTCTGGGGAGTACACCCCAAGGAAACCCTGAAGAGACTCAAGAGAAAACAAATCCCTGCTCTAAGAACAACTACCACTTGAGAGCTTTTTATTCATCCCTTGAACATGATTTCATTAAATAAATATTTGTAGAAGAAAGGGAGATAGACATAGAGAAGAAAACAAGGATGGAAGAAAAAGAGGGAGAAGAGGATGAGGGGTATATTTTAAACATTTAAAATAGTTTGTGATAATAAAAATTACTGAGTCTGAAATCTTTATTTTTTTATTGCTAGGGAATGAAACCGAGAAAAAGAAATGTCAAATTGGAATGAAGACTCCTTTTCCCAGTGGCTATACTTTCAAAGGACGGTGGATTACAACATTCTGCAAACAGAATGTGTTCAGTGACATAAACGATATAAATAACTGCTTGACAAGAAAACTGGTTTACCTCATGGGTGACTCCACACTGCGTCAATGGGTGTACTACTTAAGCAAAGTTGTGAAAAGTATGTTTTATTTTTCATTTGAAATTATAGCCAGCTATTAAGGAGCTTTAAGTAACAACAATTAGAATTCTTAGTTCTCCTCTGATCTTTATTTTATTATTACTTTCAATATGCCAAACTTTTGCTTTAGGCTGTTTTTATTTTTACAGAAGAGTTATTAATTCTTTTTCTTTATGTCTATGGATGTTTTGTGCGCGCACACACACAATCTCCTGTGTGTCATGTACATGTAGTTTCCATGAACATGAAGGCCAGAAGAAGTCATCAGATCCCCTGGAACTGGTGTTGAGTGACCACATTGGTGCTGGGAATCTAACCTGGGTCCTCTGGAAGAACAGCCAGTGCTCTTAATAGCTGAGCCATCTCTCTAACCCCATGCTTTAAGTTTCAATAAAAGTTATATCTTAGTTACTTAATCACAGATACTACTATTATTTTTTTCTGTTTTTTTTTTAAATTAGCAACATTGCAAAATGTTATTAAGCAACGACATTTTTAATGCAAGTCTGTTTTCTATTCTCAGAGCCATGGAGGAAGGAGATAACTGACTCCGGAAAGTTGTCCTTAGACTCCCACATGCACACTGGAGCACATATAGCACTATATTTTCTACTCATGTATTCTGATACAAATGTCAAAATTTTGTAAAGGTTTTAAGGCATCTGATAGAAATTCTCTGCCTTGTAAAAATAGCAATTGTTTAGTTAGAAGTCATTATGGTCAGAGTTTTGCAGATTGTGTACACTTTAAAATATGCTACTTCTTTTGTTAAGAGATTGGTTGATTTGTTTCCCATCAGCTCTAACGTTTTTTGACCATCATGGAACTGGGATGTTTCAGACTCATGTTCTTCTGGATGTTAACCGACATATTTTGGTACAATGGAAAAAACACAGTCATCCGTTTGTTACTAAAAAGCTGTTCTCTATGAAAGATGACAACTACATCCCACGGGAAATTGACCAGGTGGCAGGAGACAGTCACACAGCAATTGTCATTAGTTTTGGCCAACACTTCAGACCTTTTCCCATCAACATTTTCATCCGTAGGGCCATCAACATCAAAAAGGCCATAGAGAGACTGTTCTTACGAAGCCCGGACACCAAGGTAATAATTAAAACTGAAAATATCAGAGAAATAAGTGAACATGCTGAAATATTCAGTGACTTCCATGGTAACATTCAAAATCTTATTTTAAGGGACATTTTCAGGGATCTTAATGTGGGTATTATTGATGCTTGGGACATGACAATTGCATATCGCAGTGAGGATGTCCACCCATCTAATAGTGTGGTTGAAAGTCAGGTTGCCATGTTCTTAAACTACATTTGCTAGAGGGTCTTCAGCTGTAGATAACATCTCTATCCCTCTCTACCCCTGCTTTCTCCAATCTCATATGTACTACATAGACAACACAATCTAATTTATGTGTAGATGGAAGTTTCTGTTCCACCCGATCCCTCAGTTGTTTAGTCCCAAATAAACACACAGAAGCTTGTATTAATTATCAACTATTTGACAGATGGCCCAGGCTCCTTATTGTTTAGCTCTCTCTTAATTATTAGGTTACAAAAAAAGTGACTGCTGAACTTGCCAAGGGACATGATGGTCCTGCAAGGTTCCTAATTCATCAAAAAGTCTGCCAAACATCCTGGGCCTATAGGCTAAAGAGGGATGCCCCAACATTACAGAGAAATTTTGGGTAATTGTTCAGGTAGCAAGATGTCTCTGTCAATTCTAGAGTTTATATATTATCTTTCTGGGGTCTGTGATGGAGTTGAGGACATATTGTTATGGTTTTCCTTAGTTATGATAAAAGATATTACATATAAAACTTTAGAGTCTCAAAGATAGGATAGATGATAGATTATTTTCTTTAAATGTTGTCAAATGTCAGTGAACTAAATATTATTAACTATAGTTCTTGCTTAATAACTGTTTTGTTATGTGTAATTTTACTAAGTTAAAACCTTCCTTTTTATTTAGACAGAAAAGAGGAAACGATGCTATGAATATATGTTTATCTTATTGGTTGTTTTGGCCATTGGAAAGGCAGGTGTTAGACAGGTGGAAAATCAAAACAGGGACAGAGAAAGGTAATAGGTGGAGTCAGGGAGACACCATGTAGCTACCAGAAAGGTAGGACACCCAGACATTCTCCAGTAAGCCAAGACCATGTGGAGATACACAGATTAATAGAAATGTATTAATATTTAAGAGAGGGCTAGCCAATAAGAATCCTGAGCCATTGGCCAAACAATTTATAATTAATATAAGCCTCCGTGTGTTTATTTGGGACTAAATGGCTGTGGGACCAGGTAGGACAGAAACTTCCATTTACATTTAAGAAGAAATGAATATTGCATAAAATTTACCATTCAATGGATAAGTTAGTTGTTGATCTCATTATCCGGGAAGGGCATTTATGGTAGCCTTTCCAGGGATGTTCAAATTGTTAGTTGGCAGCAGTCTTGTAGGTCTCTAGACCTTTCTTTGGGTTCAGTTTTCTCTTCAAACCAATATTGGCTCCCTCTTTTATGTTCTCTCTCTCTCTCTCTCTCTCTCTCTCTCTCTCTCTCCTGTCTCCTATTCCTACCCTGACTCAATCTTCCTGGTCGCACATGTTTTCCTTTCCTCCCCCTCTCTTTCTCCTACTTCTCTCTCCATTCACTGCCCCCCCCACTTCCCCTGTGCTCTGGGGGACTTGTCCCTTTCCCCTTCTGTGAGGGACTTTATGTGAATCTCTTAGAATACACCTTGTATCCTAGTTCCTCTGGTGGTGTGAATTATCCATGGAGCCCTCATCTAATACCTGTTGGAAACAGAAGCAAACACCCATACCTAAACACTGACTCCAACTAGAACCTAGATTCAGAAGGAGAGGACAAGACCAGGTTGCAGAAACACATAGAGACAGCTTACCTGAACAAGGAGGAGCTAACGGGCCCCTAGACTGATAGCTGGGAAGCCAGCATGGGACTGACTCAGGCCCCCCTGAATATGGGTCTCAGCCAGAAGGACTGAGCAGTCTAAGAGACCTCAGACAGTGGAACCAGGGTGTATCGCTGGTGACAAAAGGACCTTGTGAACACGTCCCCCATGGAGGGATAACTGCCTTAATCTAGAGACAGGAGAGAAGCCCTAGTCCCTACTTCACATGACCTGTCATATCTACATGACCTCACCTGGATGGCATTGCCCTACGTGTGGAATTGGGGTGGGTGGATGGGAGAGGAGGGTGGTTAGGGTGCATGTGAGAGGGCAGAGAGGGTAAAAGGGAGGGAGGAAGGGAAGGGAACTGGGACCGACATGTAAAATAATAAATTAAATAAAAAAATTTACCATTCAAACAGTTTTTAATCCTACAATTGAGTGGTGCTAAATGAAGCCCTATGCCATACCACCATTATTATAAACCATTTTTTAACCATTTTATTCATCCCAAAGAGAAATAGCAAACTTATTTGTTAAATAACCACTCACCACTTTCCCTAACCCATAGCTCCTGGCATCTACAGTTATACTTTCTGCTTCTGTAAATTTGACTGTTTCAGACATCTCATATAAATGAAATAATAAAATTCATGTGAATTTGTATCTGGCTTATTTTACTTAGCACAATGTCTTTAAAGGTCACCCATGTCAAATGTATGAGAATGTCCTCCTTTTTAAAGAGTAAATACCATTTCTTTATTTCTATACGTGTACTGCACTTTGTTTTTGTGTTTATTTATTGATGAACATTTAGATTTTTAATTTTTTTTAATTTTTTGTCTTTTGGGTGTTGTCTATCACAAGGCTATGAAGAGGTATGTGATTTAAAGGCTTGTTTCCACTTCCAAGCTAGATGTTTAAATAGTAAATCATCACTATCCATCACCCCCCTTTTTTGATGTAGCTTTGGAGCCTGTCTTGGAACTTGCTTTGTAGACCAGGCTGGCCTCAAACTCACTGAGATCTGCCTGTCTCTGCCTCCTGGGTCCTGGGTGCTGGGATTAAAGGTGTGTGCTACCACTTCCTGGCTCCATCCCTTATTTTTTTTAAATGTTAATGTTCTTTTATTATTTATGTGCATTTGTGAGTGTGTCTGTTAGTGAATGTCAGGTGTGTTTGGGGATTGTGCAGAGGCCAGAAGAGGGCCTGAGGTCCTCTGGAGCTGGAGCTACAGGTTGTGACTTGCCCAAGGTGGGTGCTGGGAACTCAACTCTGGTCCTGGGAAAGAGTGGGAAGTGCTCTTAACCCTTGAGCCACACCCCCCACCCCTAGCCACCATTATCCCTACTTTGAAGGAATATGTAACCCAAAAGCACATAGCTTAAGTGATCTGTTCAGAGAAAATGTAATGCATAGAAGAAAAAAATGTGAGGACCACGATAGCAGTTGTCGTGCTTAGAAAAATTCCTTAAGATTTGATACCCAGTTGTCACTTAGACTCCACTATGATTCAGCAGCCATAGTCCAAAGCCCACAAACTCATGGAGTAAAACCAATTTTGCTTCTGATTCTAGCTGACCCAAGAAGTGTGATAAGGGAGGTCCTTCCAGGGACCTCAGAAGACTTCATAAGTTTTGTCCTTAGAATCTTTTTCTTTTGACAGAAGTCACAATCACAAGTCTACTTCTCAAGACTTGGTATATTTTATTAAGGATAATTACCAAGTTTGGGTTGTATTTGTGAGTGAAAAGAAGTAAAATTATAGTGTTATAACATATGGACTAGACTCTTAAACAACTCACAATAAAAATCTTTCAGATTCATTTTACTTTTAATATATGTAGGTGGGGTTGTATGGGTGTGTCCATATAAATGCAAGTGCCAAAGAAGTCAGAAGAGGTTGTGAGATCGCCTGGAGCTGGAATCACAGACAGGTGTGAGCTGCCAGATATTAGGCTAGGAACTAAACTCAGGTCCTCTGGGTCTCCTCTCCTCTCCTCTCCTTTCCTCTCCCCTTCCCCTCCCCTCCCCTCTCTTCCCTTTCCTTCTCGTGTGTGTGTGTGTGTGTGTGTGTGTGTGTGTGTGTGTGTGTGTGTGTGTGTGTGTTAGGGCAAATTTAGGTGTTTGTCAGGTGCCTTCCAGTTTTTGCTTTTGATATGGCTAAGCTTCCAGTAGTTGCTTTATCATCTCATCACTGGAATTATAGGCCACTACACCACTAAACCCATGAAAACACCACTACACCATTAAAACGAAAGGGTTCTAGGGAATCGAACTCTGATCCTCCTCACACATGCAAAACATGCACTTTACTAAGCATCTCCCAAATGCCTCAAAATTTACTCTATATTGAGCTCCTGATTGGTCCTCATTCTCCCCATAGGAATCTTTGCTGTCTCATTGCTCTTACAAACATTGTGTTTTCATCTTCACAGCAAGGTCTCCTCAGATTCCTTCATCGGGGTTTGATGAGATGACTTCTACTTTCCTTATCCTGTTTCTTCTAATGCACTGGAGCTTCCCTGAATCACTTATAATAGGCCTTCTATATGGATCCTGTTCCTCACCCTAACACCCTGCATGCTCTAATTTAAGTCATCCCAGAATAACTATTACTCCTCTTCCTCTACATTTGTGCTATATCACATGATAGTCACATTTCATTGCTAACATTAAAACTCAATTCAATCATTCTTCAGGACCCCCAGTCCCATTCTGAGGGATCAAAGACTCCTGTACCACAACAGTGTTTGCTTACATTTTTCTTTATATGGTATTCTTCATGTTTGTTAGAATATTTGGGTGTTCTTCAAAAACAAATCTAGTATGACCTGAGGAAATGGCTCCTTTGGGAGGCTTCTTGACTAACAGGCATGAGGTCCTGGTTTGGTCATAAGCACCATATAAGCTGGTCATAGTGGCACATGCATGTAATCCCACCATTCAGGAAATGAAAGCAGGAAGGTCAGAAGTCTAAAGGTCATCCTCAGCTACATAGCAAATTTGAGGGCAGCCTGGCCTATAGGAGACCTTGTATCAATCAATCAACGTAGTGATAAACTAATTTTTTTGCTGAATTTTTAAAAAGCTATCAGATGTTGGTGGAAAACTTTTAAGTCATTTGCTTCTTATTTATTCCTTTAAAAGACATCCTGGGATCTAAATAGCTCCTTGTGTTCTACCCTTGGAGTGATAGCTTTAGGTTACAGTAGATATTGACTTTGCTGTTAACATATAATGACTCGAGCAAGCCATTTGAATTCATAGACATATTCTTTACTGTTATTATCAAGCCCTTTTGGAAAACTCATTTCTGCACAATGGAGTGAAACGAAACTAGGAATCAATAGCAGAAAGAAAAAACATCTCATGATATGTAGAAGTTAAATAGTACACTCTTAAACAACTGACTGGTAAGGAGGAAAACACAAGGGAATTTCAAAACTATCTGGAGACAAATGAAGATGAAGCTAGAGCATGCCAAAGTGTATGGAGCAGAATGAAGGTAATAGAAAGGGGTGAAAGGGGTCTCCTATCAGGACATAGGACAGTCACCACCTGATTTCGCACCTCAAAGAACTAGAAAAAGAATAAACCAAAGCCAAGTAGGCAGAAGGAAAATAGTTTAGGAGAGAGACCAATGAGAGACTATAGAATAAATACAATAGAAAGCTCAAAATGGTAAGTTGCTTTAGCTGAAAATGCAAACAACAAAAATAAAAACCTCTTGAAGAGGAGAGGGAGAGAACACCAAAATTAGAAATAGAAAAGAGTACTTTAGAACTGATGTCACAGAAACAAGGCCTATGAAGAATGACTACAAAGAGTTACGTTCTGGGGCTCAGTGATAAAGAGCACTGGCTGCTCTTGCAGAGGACCCAGGTTCAATTTCAAGTACCCATATGGAGGCTCACAACAATTTGTAACTCCAGTTCAGGGGATCAAATTCCTCCTTCTGGCCTCCGTAGTCATCAGGCACATCAATGGTGAACATACATAGAGACAGACAAAACACTCATATACATAAAATAAATAGAACTTTAAAAATGATTATTTAAAATCAGCTATGTAACAGTAAATTCTATAACTCAGAGAATGTTGAGAAATTTCTGAAAATGCACAGCCTATTAAGGTTAAATCTGGAAGAAATTAAAAATTCCCAAACATACTTGTAACTGGAAGGAGAATGAGACTTTCAGATAAACACATGTTAGGACTAACTGGTTTCACAGAAAAAATCCCTAAACACTGAAATAATGAACACAAATCCTCCTCAAATTCTTTCAATGAACAAAAGAGGAGGAAGCACCCCCAAAATCACTTCACCTGGACACAAAGCTAGACAGGGACTTACCAGGGGAAAGGAAACTAATGGCCATTTCCTTGATACACATATATTCAAAAACCTTCAGGCGTTTCCTGGAAAACTGAATCCAGCAATGCAGTAAAAGGATCACACGTAGGCAAGAGAGGTGGAAGGGCTTCAGCTTGGAATAGGAAGACCATCTGACATGTGAACATCAGTCAGTATGGGGGCACCATGATAAGAGAATAGAGGACAAAGACACATGATGCATTTCAACTAAAGGTGAGCAAGCACTGGACAAAGCCAGCACCTCCTTGCAAGAGAAACACTCCCAGTCTGAACAGGAGGAAGACACCTCAAGGAGGCAATGAAGGAAAATGTCACAGTAAACAATGCTCAGCTGGGAACAACTCTTAGTTTAGTCTGTAAAGCCAGGAACAAGGCAGAAATTGTTTCACAGACACTATCATGTCAACACAGTGCTACAAATTTTAGAAGGAGAAGTTAGAAAGGAAAAAGAAAGACCAGCCTGTAGAGAAAGAAGAGAACAAGGCTATTACTGGTCAAAGAACCTTTTTTTATATTTCATATTTGACTTCCGGTCCTCTGGTCCCTATAATCCTTTTGTCTGCCTCTTCTACCATGTTCCCTGAGTCTTAGGCGCAGAAGTTGTATTGTAGATGTATCAGTCAGGGCTGACACCAAGAGTCAAGGAATCCTGATACCTAGGGCTACTTGGAAGCTGTGATGCTGGCTGAAGAGTCTCAACTTCCTACACCTGCACTGAAGCTTTAACACTTAGATCTAAGGGTCCTGCTACTCAGGCCTTGAAAATGTGCTTTAGCAGAGCGGAGGCTGTGGTGGGTCTAATGATGATATAAAAACCATTGATAGCTTTAGTTCTTTGTAGATGGTAAATACAAGGGGCGGCACAGACTGTTGCTCCCACCTGCCCATTCTTGCTGTTCATGGCAGTCAAACACAGAGATGAGCAATGCCTGAGAACAGAACTTGAAGAACTCCTT